TAATGACGTTAATGTTTAAAAACTGTACAGTAATGTGCAAAAGTTTTGAGCCTCATTTCTTTCTGTTTTTCTAGTAAAATGTGAACCATGTGCAGCGATTTATTGATGGGTCAAACAGAGTTTGTACGACTCTAACGAGCTTGTTTGGTGTGAGCGCCTTTATTCTCAGTCTGAGCTTTCTCTACTTTCTTCTTCATCTTGAAGGACATTCAGGTCTCTTCTTTGGATGTTTCTTCTTTTTGTTCTGGTCTCTGTCAGGATGATCCCACACTGCTTCAGTGATGTTGAGGTTCTGGCTCTGGGGAGGCCCATCCATGCCTGATAGTGCTCTACTGTGTTGTTTCAATCCAGGTATGTTTCCACTGCGCTGGCAGTGTGTTTGTGAAACCCTCCAGTTTAGATCATCACTCTTTCGCGCCTGTTGTCACAGATTCAAACATCTCTAAATGTTTCCAACAAAAAAACAAAACCACTTTTTAAATATCTCAATGATCGTCAGCAACAGGATTTATTTATGTAGTTTTTGGTCGAGTTAATGCATTTCACTTCAATACAAACGCTGCTGCTCAGCTCGCCCATTCTTACACCTGTACACGTCAGTCAATACTGTGAAACCTTTAAATAACTTTTATTTGACACAGCAGGGCAGACTTTTGTTTCCTGGTGTTAGTAAGTGAGTAAAGTGCGTAATCCGAGAAAAATTATTAAAAAGTTCCTGTTTAATCTGATGATTGTAATGTGAAGCAGGTCTGGTAACCTGCAGTGACGTGTTGGGCGTGTCGTCAGACGGGTGTTTGAGAAAGGTGTGTTTTACTGCAAACCTAAAGGAAGAGAGAGGAAGGTTATTTAAGCCTCAGCAGGTCTGGAGGTTTGGATCTTACAGCGATGGCTTTCTACAAAGTGATGTGTTTGGCTGCTGGGCTGATGCTCCTGACCCAAGGTAAGAGCTCTCTGCACACACCTGCATCAGGTACGACTCAGAGGGTGAAAACACTCATGAGCACATCGCTTCACTTTAAAGTGACACTGCAGGAAAAAAACCTTTTCCTTTAAAAAATCGTTTCTTTAATACGAATTTGGTGTGTTCAGTTAAAATTCACAATGTTCAGTAAACATAAGTTTAATATATATTTTGAAGAAGAAGTTTTTATGACAGACCAACAACACAGGAGCCTCTGATGAGGAGACGTAGTGTTTGGAACCTCAACATTTCTTATCTCACATTTTTTCAAATTGGTTACACTAACTGTAACTTCACACAGTAATTATAGACAGTGAACTAATCACAGACAGATGAATGAAGATTTTTAGTTTTAAAATGGTTTGTTTTCTGTGTTTCAGAGTCTGAGTCACAGCTGAATGGTAAGATAAAGATTCTTTGTGTAATGATTTACTTTTATGTGTAATAAATCTTTTGTTTTATATGAATATTAGTTTGTGAGTGAACTGTAGACTCCCAGGATCACTGTGTCCTCACTCAGCAGTTTGTAATGCTGAGAGTTTACAGCTCTTACAGTAATGCTCACTCTGTGTTTTAATGTCTGTCTTCAGTTTGTGGTCAACCAAAGCTCAACACCAGGATTGTAGGAGGACAGGTGGCCCGCGATGGCAGCTGGCCCTGGCAGGTCAGTCTGCAAAGATCTGGGTCCCACTTCTGTGGAGGATCCCTCATTAACAGTCAGTGGGTGCTGACTGCTGCTCACTGCTTTGCAACGTGAGTAATGAGGCTGAAGCTGCACACTAAACAAGATTTATTACCATAAAGAGATTATGAAAGGTCGTAATCAGGGGGCTGAGGGTGTAACAGGATAAATATTTAACAGAGTAGGAAGTCAATAATATCATTTCATTTCATATCATTTCTTTTCAGCCATCGTAATAACTGCATGTTGTTTTGTGCTCCTTGATGATCTCAGCACCAACCCAAGAGGACTGACTGTGATTCTGGGCCGTCGGAGTCTACAAGGATCTAATCTCAATGCAGCGTCTCGAACTGTAAAACAGATCATCAACCATCCAAACTACAACTCTAATACCAACAACAACGACATCTGCCTCCTGCAGCTCTCCTCACCGGTGACTTTCAACAACTACATTTCTCCCGTCTGCCTGGCAGCTTCAAACAGCATCTTCTACAGCGGTGTTAACAGCTGGGTCACCGGCTGGGGAAGTACTAGAGAAGGAGGTGGGTCATAAAGACACCTGATCGTTTTTAGAGAAATGATGACAATAATACAGGGAACAAAGTTGCTGTCTCAGAAATATTTAGAGCAATAAAATATTTCCATGAGGTTAAATCTGTGCAGAGTTCAAAGCAAGAAAGAATAATTATGTGAATTAAACAGTCTGGAAGTGCTGGACCTGCAGCAAACATGCTGTCTGCACGATGATGTCAGGTCAAAATGATCCTTGGTTAAAAGAAAGTATACTTTCTGTGTATCTGACACTGCCCCCAGGTGGTGTTCGACAGTTACTACATGATGATGACCATCTACTGTCTGTGTGTCAAGTTTATTTCTGTATCGTTTAAAAACAGCAGCTGTTGTCCTTCATCTAAAATACTCAATTAACATAAAACAGGACAAGATGACAGAGCGGCATCAAAGTCATGTGACT